AAAGTTGAAGAGAAATTATATCTGGGGGTACGCGAAGACATCTTAGGGGGTACGTGAAATTTAAAAAAAATATATATTATTTTATGATAAACACTGAATAATCAGTAATGTAATTTATCTAATTTATTTTAGATGTAGATTATATATTATGTATAACTTGAATTATACACCAACAACTTTGGGGGTACAAAGTTGAAGAGAAATTATATCTGGGGGGTACGCGAACAAAAAAGGTTGAATACCACTGATTTACTGTACAGTGTCCTTGGATAAGGGTGTGTGTGAGTCTGCATTAGTTCACGTAAATATTCCCAAAGTATACAGATACGTTGTCGCATTTTAAGTTTAGAGGTGCAACAAAAGAAATAGTTTTTCGAGTCATGCAATCAGCACCTAATTGTTATTCATATGCTACACGTGGCAGGTAGTCTTATGCTTTTGTCAATGAAAATACTGCGACACTGGAGATCCGGGGGTAGTGCCTGGCACTTCAAACGTGAAGTGCGCTTCAGGAAATAATTCTGGTGATTGTATTCCCTGCTCTTCAAGGTAAACAAAGCGCCACGTGTGTCGCAAGTATGCTAATCCACGCCGAAGAAACAGATTACACATTGTGTATGAACATGGATATCTGATATCCATAAGATAGCTGTCGAAGCTCGTAGTACGTTCATTTTAATCGATTTTCTGGGTCAGTGTTGTTTTACTAAGTCGTCAGTGCGACAGTCTCATCCTTGTTGCTTTCACCACACTAATATTTGGCGAGGAGTAAAAATTGTGGATGTCTTCATAATGCAGTTTTCTCCAGTCTCCTCGCGAGCGCAGTGCGAATTTTGACTGTTTTCACAGCATCAAAGCGTCTGAAACTGATTTCCAGGCGTCGCCTTTGTTTCCAGCGCTCTCCTTTAAGGCGGCAGAAATGGGAACGCAGACGTGACAACTACGTGAAGCTTCGTTTTCTTTCGAAATGAGGCATGTAAATTACGTTCTACTCTACGACATTTCTGAAGACTTGGAGATTCATGCAATCAATTAAGGATGTCAGATCTGAGGTTTTCGCGGCTGAGAGTCTGAAGATTCCTGTTTCAGAGGTCATCGCCCTGATGACGGAGGCAGCATGACCTCTGAAACGTTGGTGGACATCTACCAGACTACACAGTGCAACAACCCAGAAGACAGCAATCTTCAAATTAAGGATGGCGCACGCCAAAACGCTGTCTGACTTCCAAACGTTTTATTTTCAGTTTGTTTCTATTTTTTTTAGTTTCAATGCAGTGAATTCTTCATTTTTGTTGAAATCCATAAAATATGTGCTTTTTCTCAACGTGGTTCTAGTCCATCACATTCAGTCCATTTAATTTCTACAACAGCGCCGTACCGGCTCGGCAACTACTCCGACTTTAATGTGAGGCGGGTTAGTATGCGTGTAGTGTTCAGGCGCTCTGTTGTGGGGAAGCACGATAATTAGATTACATATTTAGGTCCGGACGGCTCTGGATGGGACCTGATAGAGTATTCCTGCATTTTGCTTTATTTCAATGGCAAAGTTTTCAAATTTTAACATGATGTTAATATTTTAAGTTTTTGTAGTTAAAAAATACTCCTTATTGTTAATTCTTTTCTACTAACATCTGGTAGTGATTTAAGCATTTTGTCACTACAGAACGAACCATTCTATAATATTCTAAAGCTTTTAGAACCCTCATGTTACTGCCAAATGCTTCACGAAGAGCAGCAAACGATTTCGATGGAATTTGGTGACGGCTTCCACAGATAAATTAATGGGATTTGTTTCAATTTAGGACATAATTCTGGTCGATTTAAACATCCGTCTTCATGACTGTTTATCTAGTTATGTGTTATTAAAATTATTTAATAATTAAAAAATTGTTTTTATAAAGTCCTATTTAAATTGCGTGTTCGCAGTACACTCTTGGCCACGAACATAACACATATAATGTAGTCGCATAGACTTTTGCATGCTTGTAGCTTTACAACAGCGGATCGCAGGATGGTGAAGACAGCTCGGAACTCGCACCGTAGCAAAGTTATCTACGCTTTAGTCTTGACTTCGAGCCTCGCGATAAACGGAGTGGATTCCTTCCGCTTTCTTCAAGCATGCATTTTTATAACGGCGACTTCAATAACTTCAATCGGTGTCCCTCTTCTTTCTAAGAATCGCATTCCGTAGCAAAAACTGATTTTGGCGACACGTGGAATATAGCGCAGAACCATGATTTAGTATACCGATTCAGAAATACAGTTCGCCGGCACGTATCTCAGCGCGTAAATTTTTCATTAATAGATTGTGGCCGCAAGACACTCGAAGGGAGGGGGGGGGCGATAGAGAACCAGCACGGCTTCCAAATTTGGTCCTACGAGTAAGGAATTGAGACGAAAAAATGAAATCGACTCTTGACGTCAGCAGAGGAAGCAAGCACTGAACCAGGTTTTGAAACAAACCATCAATCACTGTCCAGTAGATCAGATTTGTTTAGAGTGTCCTTTCAGGTGCTTGGCAAGATTAGTTCTTTGAAAATTCTCGTTTCCTGTCGTTGCATAAGGTTTAAAATGAAATACTTGTCTTTGCTATAATTATCCGGCATTCACAGTGGTTATTGACATACAGGTAGGAAGATGTGTTTCAATTATGCCTGAGGACTTGTTCAAATGTTTGTTTTTAATATGGATTCCTTAATTGTAATGTAAGATTTGAGGCTGTCGTGGCCATGTGGGTACACGTGGCGTCTTCTGGGTTGTTGTGTGCCTTGTAGTATTTTGACTGCATGCAAACGTTTCGGGCGGAAATATTGCCTTCATCGTCATGATGAAGTTGCTTTGGTATTCATCCAAAATGCTTCTGATATAGGCAGACGTGAGGTGAGACGTACATAACGAGTGTAAGAAGTCTTTGGGCAAACTGGGTCAGGCTTCGATACGTTCTTTTTATTTAGTTTTTAAGAATACCCTAATATTTACACATTTCTGAATCATAACCATGACTTACCGTTTATTAAATTTAGCTGAGTATATATTTTCTCTGCTTCTAATTCATTTTTGAAAATACTCTTGCAAAAATAAGACTATTAAGGAATTGTTCTGAACTGGGAAGCCGTGAGACTTGTACCCCGGTACGAATGTAACGTGTTTCTCCGACGCTGCACTCTGGTATTCGCCTACGAGTGTACATGGCGTCACCTCCGTGAGAACCGCGAATCTCACACATCGAGCCTGTTAGTGTCATTATATCCGTCTCTGCGATTGTAGAATCGTTTTTACGTCTGAAGACTGGCAATGCAAATGCATATTAATATTTCATTTGAGATCGCTTTGATTTTGTACTCCTACCCTGTGTATCGCTGCCATGTGACGACATTAAAGGCAGAGGACCGGAACACAGACTCCTTTGGTATCTCTTAAACAAAAGGAACAAAATTGAGCGGCGTCGTGTCATGTCCCTCCACTTTGCTTGAGGTCTCCGTGCTCGACGAGTCTACATGGCGTCACAACCCAGAAGAACAACGTCATCTTCACCTCCGTGAGAACCGCGAATCTCACACACTGATCCGCGCTTTTGGTCCCTTGTAGCAACTCGGACGTGTCTCACCTCACTGAGTCGTCACTTGGCTGCATAGATTTGTGAAGAAAATTGCCACCAGTACCGTCTGTCTTCGAGCGCCTCGCAATTACGTCTGTGGAGCACGGTTGTTTTTGAGAATCTTAATAGTTGGTAACCCAGTCTACACCTCCCCGCCTGACTAGATGATAAGATAATAATGAATTGGAAAGAACGTGGAAGGGAAAGGTCATGGCCTAATTTAAGCTGCTGTTCGGGTATTTGCCCGGAAGGACTGTGGAAAACCACGGTTACGGTCTCTGGGATTAGATTTGAACTCGGAACCTCCCGAAAAGAATTAACCACTCTGACGCAACGTTTGGTGGTTTTGTCGTGAGCCTACTTTATATTACTGTTACGTTAGTTTTCAGATTGAGGTGGAGTGCCGATCGACTGAAGTTATTGCCATTATTGATGTAATATCTGAAATTGGAACGCCGGGGCGAAGCTTATCGGAACTGGATTCGAAAACCTTTCGATGTGACCGAATGAATGAGGCAGCAGGACCTAGACTCTGTTCCAAGTGCATGTTATGTTAACTGCAGTGGGACCACGTGGCTTTGTTTCTTATAATTAATTAGTTGTTTCTTTTTCTATTTCTGTGTTGCAGACTCTTAGAAAAACTGTCTGTCAAATGTCCAAATCGAAATTGCTGTGATAAAATTCTACCACGCGGCGATCTTGAAGATCATTTGAGTCAGAGGTAAGTTTAGTGTAATAATTATAGTTTTATTTTATGTGTTCCATAAAAAGCCACAAGTTATTTTTGTCTTGCGAGATCTGAGGTGGTGTAGGAATTTTCTTCTGGAGCTCACAAATATAAAATCTTTAAAGTAATGTGAAATGTTGTCGAAACTATTGAGTAGTTAAATTTACCGATGTCTCTAGTATCATTTGCGGTATGAACATGACTTTTATGGGATGTGCTCTGTAGTCTTATAGAAATATATCGACGTTTCAGAGGTGCATGTTCCTCCACCACTAGGACGATGATAGAGGCAGTGAGCACATTTAAAAGTCAGACCACACGGCGCCGCGTACCACATGACAGTATTCCTCACAGTTTTCGCCGTAAGAACCTGAAATCTTTTTGTATTCAGAGATTCATGTTAGTAGTACTCTTCGGAATTGTGAACCCTGAAGATGGAGGCAGTATATTTCTCCGGAACGTCTATATCTACATACAAATGTACACGGAGTTACTACACAGCGGGGAATTGTCTACATCTGTCGTCTTCAAAACAAATAACAGTGACTGGAATTTGTAGGGAGTACTGTTAAGCTTCTGGTTTTTCACAGTCTCAACGCTAATATTCACATGCCACTTCGCGAAGAATCACGCTTCAGTGCCGCATGTGACAGACAAACAGTGCTATCCAGATATCAGTTTCTATTTGCTTTCCGTTTTAGATGTGGTCCACATTTCTATCTCTTAAACGACTGTCTTTGGCACCGTTCCCTATATTTCATCGGGAAGACGACACGTACTTTTTGAAAAGTTTTTTTGTTTATGTGAGACTCGAGTAGAATTGACAAATAACGCGATTGGCGTGTTCGTTATTGGTGCGAAGAAAATGGGAACGGATATACTCGGGAATAGGCATCGGGTGCCCTCCCTCAGACGAGCAGTTACTACCAGTTTGCGTCCAATGGTCGAACTGTTGTGACTCTGTGTATCTTGAGTGTCATCTGCATTCTGCGCACGAATGCTGAAAATGTTATGTGGCCTAGCATTATCGAGCATCCTAACGCATTGAAAGCAATATCAACAACTTTAAATTGATCGTTCATAAAATGAATTACATAATTCTTAAAAGCACCGTACCGATAAAAAGGTATGAAATGTCGTGTAATTATGCTTCCTCGCGTCTAGAAATTTAATTCCTTGTAGGAATCAAATGCTGCAGTTGACGTCTGTTGGCATGTCAGTTCACTGAACGCTTAAACCGACTTCCTTATTCACAGTGCGGTTTAGTTCTGGGTGGGAGGGTTGGAACCCTGACTGAAGATCTAGGTTGCAGTAACGTATTCCCTGGTCGGGTGTCATTAAACACTCAGTAGTGTTGGTAGATGGAGCATGACGTATTTTTATTATATGCAAGTTTAACCTTTCAATAATTTTGTAATTTTGTCTCTCACGTGCAACATTAGTTTCAAATAATTTCATAAGTAACTTTAAATCTGTAACGTTGATAGCTTTGACGAACTCTTCATGATGGCCGATTGAAGGCCGACATATATTTGGTTAACACTGTAATTTTGTGTAATAACTATATGGATTGTTCTCTTCTTGATTGCGACGTCTTGTTGGTTACTAACATTTCGGAGGCGATGATTTCTTCCGAAACGTTGGTAACAACCTACAAGACTGCACACTGTCACAATCCACTTTTTCCACCGCCGCCGAAACATCAAAACTCATGTCAGAAATGTGTGTTCATAAAATATACTTCAAGAATAAGTTGAAGATATCCGTCTTCTGGGTTATTGCGCTGTGTAGTCTGGTCGATGTTAACCAACGTTTCAGAGGTCATACTGCCTCCGTCATCAGGGCGGACCTCTGAAACGTTGGTTAACATCGACCAGACTACACAGCGCAATAACCCAGAGGACGGATATCTTCATACTCACCGCTGTGAGAACCTCAAGTCTTACAAGAATAAGTTGTTTACATTTTTCGTTTTCCTTAGAACATAATGTTATGCCTGTACAACACTGTTTCACATTAAGAGATCAAAGTGTTTCGTAATGTAGTCGTAATATTTATTTTTCGATGCAGTCCTTTATATCAGGCATCAGACGAATGAGTCGCATAGTGAAGTATCTACAGAGGTTGCAGGAGACACTCAGAACTTTCGACAAGATTAAAAGCAATTAGTTTCGTAGACCGCTCAGGGGAGGGCGTGGTCTGTATATTGTGGAAATGACGTCAGTGTCTCCTTCGTATCGGATTTGGTTTTTAGTTCCATCCTCAGTTTGCTTTGAGTACTTCAGCATGAATGAGTTGCGTGTTCTTCTTCCAAGATTCCACTAACGCCACTGTATCTTTCGTCTCGTCTACTAAACTTTTAAATACTTTGAAATCGAGGCGCGTTTGTTCCGTCACATTCGCGACGTTCTTCTCGCAGTCCTCTGACGGATTTTCCGCTTACGTTGTCTGGATGTCTCTTTTTCGTATCCTGTATTACCCTCTATTCGTTTTGTGTGAATGCACATGAATGAATCTGCACGCTGTCTTATTTTCATTAATGACTGATTTAATCTCCTCGCTCCGTATCTGTAACCTCTTTTTACTCCTTCCTTATCCTCTTTGCCATTTTTTTCTCGTTACATCTCTCAAACAAGACCTGTATAATGCCTCTCGCTTGGAGCTGTAATATTAATTTTAATTCATTTACATAACATATTTATCCTGTATTATTTTACTAACAGGAGGACCATGAATCGTCCTTCTTCGTCTTTAAAAAACTCCTAGCTTTCCGTGTTATCCTCCGAACCACAAAATTATCTGTGTCTAATCCCAGGGCATGTGTAAACTGTTCTGTTGTGTCTTGAAATCGAGGCGCGTTCGTTCCGTCACATCCGCGACGTTCTTCTCGCAGTCCTCTGACGGATTTTCCGCTTACGTTGTCTGGATGTCTCTTTTTCGTATCCTGTATTACCCTCTATTCGTTTTGTGTGAATGCACATGAATGAATCTGCACGCTGTCTTATTTTCATTAATGACTGATTTAATCTCCTCGCTCCGTATCTGTAACCTCTTTTTACTCCTTCCTTATCCTCTTTGCCATTTTTTTCTCGTTACATCTCTCAAACAAGACCTGTATAATGCCTCTCGCTTGGAGCTGTAATATTAATTTTAATTCATTTACATAACATATTTATCCTGTATTCTTTTACTAACAGAAGGACCATGAATCTTCCTTCTTCGTATTTAAAAAACTCCTAGCTTTCCGTGGTATCCTCCGAACCACAAAATTATCTGTGTCTAATCCCAGGGCATGTGTAAACTGTTCTGTTGTGTGACATTTGGAGTTCCGTGTACTTCTTCTGGGTAGTAACGCCGTACGGACTTGTAGGTAGACACTAACGTCTCGGAGAAACGTACTGTCTCCGTCTTCAGGGCCGCTTGCATCTGCTTATCTGCAGTTAGCATACTGCCATAGACCATTTGTGTATGACTCGATGTTTGAAGAAGCTATTTAATACCAGTGGTTTGCATAAATGTTTATATAAACCGATGTATCTTAGCTTACAGCCACTTTCATGTCTCGCCTTTCCTCAACCTATTTCTCAAATGTCCAACTTTTTCATTTGTATCATCAGTCATATACATTTACTATTGTGTATATGGCACTTGAAGGCGTACGTCTGCCTAATACTAATGACGTCTTCTTCAGATCCTTTAGGAACAGCTAAGGCCAATCAGAATGCTTTGAAAGCACGTGTACTCTGGTGCAGTCTTGTACCCTTAAACCATGTGATTTTTGTAATGGATACGCGTTGTGATTTCTTTCCTTTAGGGACTGGACTTTTAAATATTATTTACATTAATATCAAAATTCCGCCCAGCATTCAAGGATAATGTAAAATTTCAAAATTCCGGTCTAACTCAGCTTCTCTCCTTGTCACACTTCTGGACGCCTTATCTTCTATTCAAACTGACTTCACCAGGACGAGCGGGCACTGCCTGGGAAACTCCGTATACGAAGATTTATCTGTGTGTTCTCCGTTAAACGAGGCATCTGTCACCGCTGTCCCCTCCCATTCACTTGAGATTCAAAGGGTTAAGTGGTGGAAAGGAAGCGAGGTTACTCGGGTTTCGTTGTTTCTCAGATGCCCTGGAGCGATTGCAGTTGCTGTGAAGCCACACCCGAACGCTCCTGCGTCTTCTCAGCGTCCCGTCAGCACGGCTCAGTCATCACCGTCGAAGCAAGGGGACGCCACTGGTCGCAGTAAAGGTAGGATCGCAGACGTTTCGGTTAATACCTTTTGCTAACCGTTAAGTGCGAACTGTGTACTTCTTGCAAGATTTCTCGAGCTTCGTCGACTGTTGCAAATACACTTTTGGCCCAGGCAGCCGAGGTACGGGGAGGTGGTCTTGCTTTATGCCTTGATTCAGTTATAAATAATAATAATGTTGATTTACTTATGTGCTTGACAACAGCCAAACAGTAACAATTGCAGCCAAGCTCAAAGAAAATATATATATATTTTTATTTAGTGTTCTGTCTGACGACAGGTCCATATGAACAGGATCCTTCCATCCTTTTCTCGGACTGGGACCTGTTCATATACGTTCTTGGCAGATGATCCAGAAGTGGTTTGCCATTGCCTTCTTCTGTGTGTGAAGGGAGTAATTGTTGGGATGCCACGGACGAAAACTCCGTGTTGCCTAGACCACCAC